CATTCCCCCTGGCTCGCATTTGCCGTAGCTTTCAGGAGAGGCTGCATCATGATGCCCCCCCCCCTTTGGAATAGACCCGGGTAGGGGGTTATTGGCGACAACGCATTCAAAACTGCTTCAAACAGTTTTACGATGTTGATGTTACGAGCAGGACTAGACCTTGAGGATAGGGCGGGAAAGGTGGAAGAAACTCCGAAAGCAAGTCCCATTCTCCCGGGACATGAGCCTCCCCCCTCATTGGCTTAGTCCAAGAGGGAACCCTGAATAGCCCTAAAAGAACCCCATAACTTGCGATTGAGCTTTATCATAGCTTTGAATAAGTCTCGTAGACGATGAACATAGTGCCTTTAGCGTGCTTGCGTCCTCGGGGTGGTCTGTTTTGTGAAGCGAAGCTTTTTAAGGAACTATGAAGTCTATTAACTGCATGTAATTCTCGCAGGTTCTCAGAAACCCCTTCTATTTTGGATTCACAACCAGTCGGGACTCTCATCTGGACAAACGCTTATTTTCACAACTATGGAAAACTATTGGTCCATTTATCCTGGTCCCCATTAACTCAACTTATCTCCTAGCTGATGATCACTTTTCTTGCATTAGATCTTCCATATAGCATAATTTGGAAAGCGAGCATTGTAGGAACGATGGTCAGGGTTGCCGCCCACATACAAAAAAATAGGAAAAAAAGTGGAAAAGGAAAAAAAACGAAAAAAATGGTAAAGGAAAAAATGTGGGTCGAATCCCATCCAGACCGTGAAATCTCTCAAGGTCTCCTGAATGAGATGATTGATCCCCGGAGGGACAGTGCAGACCACGCTATTCACTGTGAAGGTTAAACTTTACAAAAGTGCGTCCACTATCCCGAATGAGTGTAGAAGGCGTGGCGCATTCCAGAGGATCGGGCGGCGATTGGTCCCTTTTTAGAATCACGAAACAGCTATGGATGAATAATCGAGAAGAGTCAAAAACAGGGGATTGAAAGAACTGCAAATTCTTTAATCAAATAATAGTTGTGACTCCCTCCCTCTAGTGATCCTGAAGATAAGATTTAAAGGTTTCTTGAGTTAATTGGCTGGTATTAATTTGATGGTATTGAGCCCTGCGATTAGCCTGTTGAGCAGGCAGTTGGAAGTTGGTTTGCCTTTGAAGGACTCTGCTATGCAAAACGTTCTGGAGGTATGGGGAATTGAACCCCAGCCCTCTCCCATGCTAAGGGAGCGCTCTACCACTGAGCTATACCCCCACGAATCTCCCACCACAAAGGACTTCATATCAAATTGCGGTCTCGAATGCAGCAAAGCAATGGCCATTATGTTATTCAATGTATTATTTGGCACCTTTTTTGGGTAAACTATTGGTTGGCAACCTCACAAGAGAAT